ATTAATTCCCCAAATCTTCATATTTTGATGAGTCCCCCAAGTTGTTTTAAGTTTATTGATATAAGTCCTTGTGGTTAATTGAGGTTATAATGACATGAAATATTCCGTTAAGTTTAACCCCAAACATAAAGTGGGATTTATGACCCTCCACCTACCCTACCAAACCCAAACCCGTTAACCTATACCCATTTTAAACTAACACTTACCCTTTCAATTTCATCTTCTCCCCTAATGGTAAAAATCAACAAAATCCTAAAAACAACGACTATTTCCCATTTAGGGTTCACAAGTGCCAATGATAGTCCACATATTATTTCTCCTTCTCCGTCATAGAACCCAAACCTCAAACAAATTTAAACTTCCAAGGTGATAGTGAAGTTCTCTGCTTCAAATTTAATGGATAACAGAGTTCTCTATTTTTGTGGGTTACAATACAGAATTAGGCTCCATTTATCTTTTATTATCTTTTTCTTAGCTTATTACCTTTTATGTGTTGGTTGCATTTACTCTCCAGCAACAGCAAAGAATTGCTTCAGTATTGAACGAGTAATGACCTAACAGAATGGTTTTGAAACATAATGTGCCTTAAAACACATCTTTCCATTAAAACCATTATATGTACAAAGCCTCATCATATGCAAAATCTCATTATGTGTACAAAGCAAACCATATACACCATATTTTAGCAAGTTCATAACATCTTCAAAATTACCATCGCAATGTTGTGCTTAATAACAAGATTTTTCGCATTTAATCTTGCGCAAATGTTCAACTTCAATCTTCAATGAGTGAACGAAAGAACTTTAGATTGAATTTGAGGGACGAAGTTGGCAAGATCACAATTAGGGCAAAAAAACCCTTTCTATAGTTGGGAGCAGGAATTGGAAAAGACAACAAGAGAGATCAGAGAAATACATGTTTTGGGGATATTATAAAGTCTGTGGGGATTTTGGTAATTCCAAACATTGTTAGTCTTAAACTAACCATGGTTGAGGCTTTTAAACAGAAATTGTAACATAAGTACTAGTATCAACAAACTTGAGCAATTTGGGGGACTAATATCAATTATCAAAATATGTAGATTTGGGGGATTAACATCAAAATAGCAGTAATTTAAGAGACTGATATCGGAAAACCCCATAAAAATATATGGATCCATTATATTTGAATCTATGTTCAGAATCCGGATGTATCATGTATGTATCGATCAAATAATTCAAATATTTTGTTCTTAGACGGTGCACTTCAGGCTGCCTCCTAAAAATAATTTTCTACAGGGAAAATTGAAAAAAATATTTGATTATTCTTATTTTATCCAAATATTTCTTTTATTGCAATAATTTTTGCTTTAGTATCCGTAATATATTCATAATTTTTCTCCTATTTATCATCTTATAAGCTTGGTCCATCTATGAAAGATGGTGTTAATCATCAATAAGCTTTCAAACCTATCACGGAATATTGTAGTTACACCTTTTTTAATCTCGTAAAATGTATTCATGATAAAAGAAGAAAAAACAAGGTAGAAACTTTGTGGATGTAATGAGAGATTGAAAAAGATGATGAAATCGAGAACAGGATGCATTTGCTAATATAAGATTGTTAAAAGTAGTAAAATGATGCAATCTAGATGCAAATGATTGAAATGACGTTTGTTAAATTTTTTTTACCATGGATCATGCATAACCAAGCCAACAAATTTTGTGCAAAGAGGTAGGATTTACTCGATCAACATTCAAACATGGAGTGAGTTGCAGGAAATGCGCCTAAAGCAAATCCTGTCTAAATTTTGTGCTATTGATAGGGCCAAGATATTGATGGCATGAATAGCAAACCTATGGTTTTACTATCAATCATGAGACAACCTTATCAAAGATCTAAGAAACATACTTGTGGTAAGTGTCAAAAGACAGAAGAACAATGCATCACAATGTCAGGAACATATTCATGCCAAACTAGCACAGGCTCGCTAAAACCATTTCCTTCTAAGCACGGTAGCATCTCCAATTCCATCAGTCCACCGTACTTGACCAAAAGCCACAAGACATCTAGTTGACATACAACATACGTACTCTAAATGCCAAACGCAAAAATGAGAAGCAACGGTTACGCCTTTAAAACCCTCCATTCTAGAGGAACGTTCATATGTGTCATAAGCTTCCATTAGGACAGCACTCCCCGATGCGAGTTTTCATAAAGTTATCATCTACATCGTCACCAATCCTTACACAGCTTATATCTAAAAGAAAGGACAAGGAACAAAAAAAAAGGACCGGAAAACTTACTGGTGTGCCGAATGTAGAAGGGCAACCAATACAGAAACGTATAGGCCACCAACTTGGAGAAGAATAAACAGAACGCAAACGGAGCAACGCCCGGCAACCTCCAAGCTCAAAAACCCGAATAGCCTCCCCTCACCTCCGCCTGCGCTCCTCCTCCTCCGAGAAGCCCGACATCCCTCCCTCCCTTCCTCCTCCCTCCATCCTCCTCGCTCCGTCGCCATCTCCAACCTCCGCGAGCCCCACACCACCCGAACCCCCGTTCCTTCGGGCTCAGACAACAAGCCCTGTACCGCCAACCCAACGCGAAGCCATGCAACACCCCGGGCACCACGAACGCTCCAGCCCGCACCCGCAGGCTCGCAGGGACTGGAGGACGCCATTCACCGAGCCGAAGGATGTTCCGACGGAAGCGTGTGCGCGATTCCAGACCCCCATGATCAGCCCTTCCTGATCCGAACCGCCGAACCAGTTGCCACGACGGCACCAGGCAAAGGCCACCCAAACGACTGCGAAGAACCCGGCTCGCTGCCTGAACGCTAAGAAGTAGGGACGGATGTGATGCGGGAGGAGAAGGCGAGGACGAGGGCGAGGGAGGAGGCGGCGGAGAGGAGGGCAGGAGAGGAGCGAGGAGGGGCGAGGGGGAGGCGGTGCGGAGATGGCCGGAGAGGAACATGGAGAGGGAGTAGGAGAGGAAGGAAGAGGCATGAGCTCAGCCGCGAGCGATGTGGAGCCGCAGCGCGCGGGGGAGGGCGAAGGGGCGCCATGAAGACGCGAGACGATTGTGCCGGATGGAGCGGCTCTTGCGGGAGGCGTGGAGCGGCGGTAGGATGATGAAGGTTAGCGGTTAGGGTGCCCGATCTGGCAGCCGAGACGAAAGGAGGGGAGGGGACTGACGGCCGCATGCCGGCGAGCTTTCGGGGGACTACTCATTTTTTCAGTAATTTAATATTTTTTATTGGGGGGTCGATTTTTTTTTTGGACGTGATTTTGGAGCGGTTTTCTCGGTGGGAGATCCCGGTGATCTAGGATTCTAGGGGGTTGGTTCGGGTTGGTCGTTGGTCAATTTGGATTTCAGCTTTGCGCGTCACTTATATGGGTTGATTATTTCGATTAGCTCCCTGACCTTTTAACATTTTGTCAGCCGCCCTCCTTTATGTAATTTGCAAATAACTGTACACTTGAGGTAGAAAAAAATTAGAGGAGGGGTTCCAGTGCCTGTCATGGAAAATGAATTTTTTTTCCCTCTCAAGTAAATTTTAGTTAAGAGTTAATTACAGAAAACCCCCAGAATTTTGAGGGAGCTATACTAAGCCCAGCTCTTTTTTTTTTTTTTTTACTAAACTCTCTGAATGTTAGGAGCTATCGCATGCAACGCACTTGAACTTTTTTACTCCGTTACATGAAAATTTCTCATTGTATCTTCATATTAGCTCCACTAGCTCTTCTGTGTCACTGGGTAAGCACGCATGCTAAAATATACTTTTTTTATTAAAAAGGGGGGAAATGGTGATTTTTTGGGACTAACGGATTGTTTTCATCTTTTTCTTGGCACATGTTTGTCACAAGAGATGTTAGAATCGATTGTGCTAATTTAATATTAAATGAGAAATGTTTATGTGAAATTCTGGAATGAAAGAGTTTAGGGGGTTTATGTACATTAACTCCTAAAGTTTAGGGGGTTTTTGTGAAATAAAAATTTTGAGGGGTATTTAGTGCAACTCCCCCAAAGTTCATGGTGTTTTCTGTAATTAACTCTCATAGTTATTTGCAAATTATATGTAGAGAGTCTAATAAGAAAATGTTAAAGCTAAACGGGGTTTGTGAGGTACCCAAAGTTTAGGGGTGTTATGTGAGGCCCTACTAGTAGTCCCATGTTAATTATGTGAGGATATTTTGATTGGTTTAAATAGTAAGCCTAGGGAACAAAGTGCTACAATAGTCGATAATTTTTCAGCAGTTGATTAGCCGAACAACTCCGCAATTAAGGTTGAGACAAACAAAGTTCAATGGGGTTATGCGAAAGACCCCCCAGAACAACTAGAGGGTTTTTTCAAAGTTATCCCCTCATAAATATTTATATTTTAGATTAGTCCCTCAGATCGTTAAACTTGCTAGTAGATCCGCTAGCTGGTTCTTACATCATGTAACCCAACTGATTTATTTGAAATGACTTACAAGAACCAAGGGACTTAATAGCAATTTTAACAATTATCGGGGCTAATTTAGAAAATAGTTATTAGAATCGGGGGACCTAATAAAGATTTCAATGAGTTGAGGGATTACTTTCAAATTATCAAAGGTTTTTGCACGGAAACCACATTGACTTTTATCCAGATTGATAGATATCATCTTTTACTTTTTTTTCATATAATTAAGAAAACCACCTTAAGTTGCTGTTATGCATACAACGTCAAACATTTTGGCCCCAAATACCCATAAACATCCTCAGTTTTCCCATACCAAAGTCTCCCTCTAGCAAAGTTGAGATGGCTGCAACTTGAGATGGAGACCGAGGAGCCGGATGCACAGACGAGGCGAGAGAGAGGGAGGAGAGGGGGCAGGAGGGGAGAGGGGGAAGCTGGCCGGAGAAGTTGTTGCGGGAGAGATCAGTAAGATGGACGGAGAGGAAGTTGGATTTGAGGCTGAGGACATGGAGGGAGGAGATGAGAGTGAGGAGGAGGAGGAGGAGAACAAAATATAATAAATACTTATAATCCCTCACACAAAATATAACTAACATAACATCCGCACAGGTTCCTTCCTTTAAACCAGTTCCAGACAATTACTCAAGGGAACTCGTGTACTGGAGACAACTAGTCTCCAAAGAGCGGGGTAATACAATACAACAGAAGGTTTTCTACAGGAGCAAAATTAATATTGAGGTTGATTTTATCCACTAAGCTTACATTTTTCACTCGATGAAGAAGCTCAACATCCAACATTACTATAAATTCACCACACCGTCGCCCATTACTTTATGGTTTCCCTTCATATAACAAGCTCTCCCGGTTGTGCCTTTCGGATTAATCCAGAAGGCATCGAATAGACAGCATCGACGATTTACTATGAACAGAAACTGTAGCAGAAAAAGCCGATACTACTTGTGCAATCCTCAGTTAGAATTGGAGCCATTTACGTAGGCGTCCCAATTTGGAATGTTTGCTGTTGCTTCATTAACCATTTTAACCAGAGTCACCTGCATGCATGTGCAATTTAACTTGTGTGAAAATATGTACGAGAAACTGGGCTGATAATTGGACTAAAAAATGATGTCCCTGAAGTACCAATGCCGTCAAATGTCCTGTAGTTCTGTGAGATTTGAATAACTATTTTGTTTCAGTGATGTATTTTGGTGTTAAAATTACAAGTATTCAACTAACAATTAAGAAAACTAAGTCAACTGCATCATCACGCATCACTTGCGTTCATATCTGTTTTTCCAAGTATAAAAAGTCAATGGTCTTCTAAGTATATAAAGTCAAATGTATGAGAGGTTTGGGTTGTGTACTTTAAACAGGTTTAAGGGAGTTCCGGAAGAAAACAGGTCATGAACTGTGCACGCAGATTTGGGTATTTCACAAGTATAACTTATGCAGGTACAGGTCAACCAAAAGATGAAAGCATAAATATTCTTGAATTTATGGCCAACTTACTGGCTAAAATTCATCTAATATTTAAGGTTTTCAAGTCAGAGACAGATTTAAAAGTCTAGTGCCTGAGGTGGCTTATTTGAAAGGTGTGACTTTAAACTGAGTATAGGCCATGGACTCTGGATATCAAAAAGGATAAATAGGAAAAGATGATGAGGATTTCAGGAATCAGAAATAAATAGGAAAATATTGTAATCTATGTCTGAGCATGTATGATTGGCCCCAGATTATAGGTAACTTGCATACAGAAATGTAAGATTTGGAAAGGAGAACAAAGACTTGCTGGTTCGGGTCCAGATAAGTTTGGATTAACTTGTTCCTATATTTTAGAAATTTATAATGGGAGATTGGGAGATTAGTTTTGTTCTACATGACTTCTATCATCTTAGCAGCAACAAGGCTTTTAACCCAAATTTCTTGGGGTTGACTACATGATTCTAATTCTTCCATTCAGATTTATTTTGGTCATCTCTTCAGATAACTATTATCATCTCCTTCTTCCAAGTTCTTTTAGACCTTTGCTCCTTTTTACCTCATTAACTATAATCATATCACTTATTCTAACTCAAGCACTAAGTGACCCCTATTGTGCATGACTAAACCATATCAATTGATTCTCTCTCAATTTATCTTCAATAGGAGAACATTCTAATCTCCTACAATGCACTCATTTCTTATCCTATCTTTTAGTGTATACTCACAAGAACATCGCAACATCTCATCTCTGCTACACTCATTTCTTTTGCACATGTTTTTTAATTACTCAATTCCCCAGTCCCAGCATTCTGATCTATAAAGCATTGGTCTCGTAACTGTCCTATATAATTTTTCCTTCAATCATATAGGTATTCTAGAGTCATATCAGACTCCAAAAGCACTTCTGGATCATAACCATACAGATATGATTTGATGAATTCCATAATCCTCAATCTCACTACCATGACGAAGGATTGATCCTAAATAACAAAAATGATCACACTTCAGAAAAAACCTACAAGAGGGCTGTGAATAAATAGGGGAATCAGTGCCAGTTATTCACTCAAGAAAATCAGAGTAATTGAAATTCTATCTACTATGGCCAGTGGGACAATTTTCTGATTAATTTCGTCTTCCAATCCCGAACAGCATCTCTGATGTTAAATATTTAGGAGCAAGCCAGGAAATAGGAACAATTATTATTTTAAATAGCACTTGCATAAATAAGTCAATAAAATTTCTGCTGTTATCTATATTTGAATTAGTGTAACCAGAACAATGAAAAGTTAGAACTGAAGTTTTAAGAATCCTCAAATTAAATTCTGAATGAAAGTCATACCACACTCTGAGGGACGCCAGCTGGTGGTAACGCAAGGTTCCTCGGAGGTGGTTTGCGATCATATGACCTTTTATCAAACCTCCATTCTCCAATCTTTCCATAAGTTGACTTACCCTGAAATTGTGAGTGTAAGATACAATAGAGGGCAATATCCGTGTATCGACTATTAATATAAGAATAACATGAAGATGTCTTACCTTCAAATCATAGTCACAACCATAGGTATAATGGATAATGAATTTCTCAGCAACATCCAAGTCCCAAGGAGGCTTTAATGACAAAAAGATAAAGATGTTAGAGGTGTTTAGTAAAGACAAAATGCAAATTTCAAGTGATGCCAACCTGAATCATGAAATCTTTGTGTAGGATGTTTCCCACTCCATGCAGGGCAGATGCAACAGCATATGCATACCTATAATTTAAAGGGTAAAAGGCAGATGAGTTCCCAATGATCATGGAGATTAATTTCACATACAAGTTCAACATCCAGGTTTCATGCATCTAAGAGACAAGACATCTGGACTGTGGTGGTAATTTTAACCAGAGTTAAATGTAGTCATCCTTAATCAGGTGTTGCTCATAAACGGGTTGACATGACTGGCCATTCAATAAATGGGTCGTGTTCGGCTCCAACTCTTTGATCTAAAATAACCCTAATTTGATCTGAATATCCTAGATATATTGTGTAATTTAGTTAAATGACTACAAGCAAATGAGATGGTGGTCATTACTCTTGCATGTTTGAAAGTGGGGACAAGTTAAGGCCCCTAGCCTTAGTAATCTCCTTCCTTTCTTTTCTTGACATGCACAGGCTATTTTACTGTTAGAATTCAACAGTTTGGTCACTTGTGTGTATTTCCTTCTCTCAAACTCACCCTCCAAAAACTATGGGACAACCAAAAAACACCAATATTTCCCAGCGTTAGGCTGAGAGCGTTGGGCCCCAATAGTCAACCTCACCTAGATGTGGAAAATCTTAGACAATGTGATAATAATCACTATTCACCTAGAAAACTATCGAAGCAATCATACATACTTCTCAGACGATCCTAGGCCTTCCTTCAAAAATAGTAGTAATATTTATTGATTGCTATAATATATGAAGTATGCAACCGATCACAAGAGAACACAGTATTCAGAAAGTAAATAAAATCAAGACAAGAATAAACATAAAAAGCGTATCCAGTGAAAAATTACATCTCAAGCACCCAGCCAAATGCCTTATCTGCTTCAGGATCCTTCTTCATTGCCAAGGAAACATTCATCCATGTAGGAGCAATCTTCATAAGAGATGCCTAAACCCACATAAGAATATAGTGAGAATCAAAAGCTAAAAAGAACAAAACACATGCCGTTGCTAGTTCATAAATTGAAATACCTTCTCAACAATTACAGGGGAATTCCCTATAGGGTCAATATCAGTGATTGGTCCCTTTTCCACAGGGAAGAACTTTCGAAGAGTCGACTCGTACTTTTTGGGTTCAATGTAGAAGAAAGGGAATGCAGCTGCAAGGCCTTCTTTTGAGAGATTTGGTATAGGCTTAACAATAAGATGGTCTGGTTCTGCCATCAATATATAACTACAAAGAGTATAACGACAATTATTTAGATGACAAACAAGTATTTAGATGATCAGATGCCAGATCGATGACCAAAGATTAAACCAATATATTAATTAATGGAGTTGATGCATAAGACATACTCTTCCTGGATATCTGCTTTCTGAAGCCACTGAACAAAAGCCCAAGGCCTGTTAAGGACAATGTATCCCTGATATTGTAAGATGGGATCAAATTAATAAAACATATGTAGACCTATATACATATAAAAGCTGACGATGAAATAAGGTCACCACGAAAAATTTAAAATCTCATTTCTGCCGTTGGTTTTGTGATGTAGTTGATCATATGGCACCTAGAGATGCATGCGAAAATATAAATGACATGTAATAAGAGGAGATAACGACACTCAAAATAGAAATTCTCAATATCATGATTACAAGGCAGCTAAAGTTCTCTACTAATATCCATCACCTGCATTTCAAGGGAAATAGTGGTATAACTTGAACAAGTTTAGGTGCAGAGTAAACGTTTATTTAGTAAAGTTTCGGATTGTTATGATTTCTAACAAGAAGTGAGGAGAGGAAATTTTAGTTACTTTCTGATGTTTTTTATTGTCTACATGTGAAAAATGCACCCCAAAAGGCAAGCAGAATCCTAAATGAAAGAATCTAACAACCAAAAAAACACAGAAAAAGCAAACTAAAGGACATCACAGAACATTGATATAATTAGCATGAATTGTACAATGCCCTATATTATTTCCACCTTTTCCCCACCAAATTAGCTAGCTTAGGCAAGCCTCTCCTTGTCAGCTATTCATTATCTCAAGTAATGAACCACTCATTTCAATAGAATTTGTTTTTCTCTCCCCACTTCTTGTTAAAATCTAACAATCAAAAATTTTTACTAACTAAAAAGTATACAGTGCGCCTAAACTAATTCGATTTTGAACCACCATCTACTACTAACAAAAAAAAAAAAAGGGGGGGTCCCCTTTTCAAACAAACATTTCACAGCTAAAATTTCTCCGAATTCCTATCCAACCAAAATTACACAGCAGCATTTCCTATAAAAACCCGTAAAATACCCAATAAATTAAATTTCAATTCACTCACATTACCTAACCAAATTAAACTAGAATACACTGCAGTTAAACTAATTTAATCTTATACCAATATCTTTTGCTCCTAAAATTTCTCCTAATTCTCAAGCAAAAAAGATCACTCGTCAACATTTCCCAAAAATATTTTTAAAAAACCAAAAAAAAAAAAAAATCCCAAAATTCAATTCAGTCCCATTACCCGATCCATTCCAGCAGGCAACGGGTCAGCAACAAAAGTAGGAATCTCGTCCATAAACGGGTCGGGTTTGCCAGAATGCAGGATCCGGGTAAACCCGCCCATATCCGACCCGCGCCCGGCCTTGGCCTTCTTGAACCAGTAGTACATCACCCTGCACTGCCACGTGTTGTACACGGAGTCGGAGGCCGTGACGGCGGTGTGGAACAGACGCCGCTGCTTATTAGGCCCGGCCCGGCCATTTGGCATGCGGATGATTGGATCAACAGTGGGCCGTGTTTGTGGGCCCGGGAAGTTTTGGGGGAGGATGGAGGTGGAGGAGATGATGACGTTGTAGGTGATGAGGGCGACGGTGATCGTGATGAGGACGGAGGAGATGAAGTTGGGCCCACAGCCCATGATTTTTTTTTTGGGGGGGGCGGATTTTTTTTTCCCTGAATTTTTGTTGGTTTTGTGTGATTTTATTGCTCTTAGTAGAGTATTATACTTTGCGAGTGGGTAGTGCGAGAGCAGTGGCAGGTGCTCACTTTGACTTTCGCTTTTCTTAGCTATTTTTCTGTTATTGGTGACGTGGGTTTTATCTTTTTTAAGAAAAAGTTTGTAGCTTTTAGGTTTAAAATATTTCATGCATACAAGCATCCGACTGTTCTAATTGAGTAGAAAAACTACAATTAAGAAGACAACGGATATTTAGTATCTGTTGCTGGTGTGAGATTATCTACAAACTGGTTCGTACATCGTTTTCCGAAGGAAATAGAAGCATGCAGAATTGCAGATGATGCCTTAAAATTCATACGTGCACGCTAATGATATATGCAATTTGCCAAGGGAGTATACTATTGAATAATTATACTCAATTGATAACTAAGTTTGCCAAGGGAGTAACTGAGGCTGCCATCAGCCACAAGTAACATAACCTTAATCATACGTATCCCCAACAAGTAATCCAATAACTTAACACAATTGTTACATGCATATCCATTCATGTACATTATATACAGCAGACAAAGGTATTCTGATGCAATTAGGCGTATATCATCAGCCTTCACAGCCCGATTGAAGATATCGGCAGCCTAGGATATCAGCAGCACCTTTTCAGTAGAAAGTTGTAATTATCGATAAAACGGGCTGAAAAGATGGCTATGCAAAGTCACTTTTCTCCTTTCGCGTCATCAGATAAATAGTTTCCAGCTCAACATGAATACTGTAATTATCCCAAGTTAAGAGCACGCTCAACAGCAGTTCTAACAAGAGGATACCGGTCAGACCATTGAGAATACGCTGCAAAATGATTTGTAAAGGAAAAGAAACATGGGTTAACTAACTACTGGAGTGGGGGTATAGGACTTAACCATATTAAAGATTCTTGTATGAACAAGAGGATACCTGCAGTGACGATTTCATGGAGATCCAAGTGTTCACCTACGTCATAACTTAGCTCCGCCTACATCGAATTTGGCAAGCAAAATAAGAAACTGGATATATTAAGCACCTAAAAGAAACAAAAAAAAAAATACAAGCAAGAAAATGTGGATAACCTGACTAAAACTTATGGCAATAATTTGTGATAAGGCCTCAAGAGTCCTGCCTTCGAGATTTGAACGTTTTAAAAGAGACTCCTCAGATGTTAAGGCAAATATCAATGAGCAGATGCAAGAAGCCATCATAATCGTGGTTGGATCATTGTTCTTCTCTGGATTATTAGATATTGTTAGTTCAGAAGGAAAAAAAAAATTATGCCAAAATCTCTTGCCCAATATGGGCATGCATTCTAAATGAAAGGTAACATCAAAACAGATGTTATGCAGGAAAGTTTAAGAAAAGATTCATTGCTCATACACCATACTAAATCACAGGTAATTAGCTCAAACCGGCATTTCAATAATATTGTACGAAGTGCATTGACAGTCCATAACGAAGTGCTCATTGGAACCATGTCCATAGAAAGGGAACTCTTCCTGGCTTTTAGTCTATCAAAATGATGAAAAAGAAGATCCGTATGTGTTCATTAACCAACCCTTTTCTTAATTCACACTCTTGATTTAAGGTTCTTCCTGTAAGTGTATCGAACAAACAAATGCTAACTTTCAGAGAGACAGCATCTGAACATTAAATAAACAGGACTCACCACAGTAAGTATATAAATCTCAAATCGAAGCCCTATTTCCCTCAAATTCGACACACAGTTCTTTTCCTCTTCAGAAATCTATGCAGTTGAGGAGCCTTGATCCAATAGGATGCCAAAGCAGTAATGAATGATGTCAATACATCGTGATAATCAATGGCGAGCACACCGACAACACCATGGTGACTGTCAGTAGCGAGTCTGTATTTATTTATTTATTTTTCCATGTTTCCTATTTCTTCGAGTTTTTATCCATTTTTCTGCTTTCTTTTTGTAGTTGCAAAATGCCAAAATCAGATATATCTGTGCTGTTAATACTGTTACTTCTTCTCGATATGCCTCTAAAGCCATGTGTGTGTTCGTTTTTTCTTTTTCTTTTTTTTGATAGTGAGGGTACTATTTTAAAACAGTCCGGACCCACCATTTTATTCTATGTTTGTTTTGTTACCCGGACTGGACTATTTGTGAAGAGGGACTACTTAATACCCAGAAGGGGAACTAAAGCAAACCCAACACACACACACACACACACACACACCCAAAAAAAAAAAAAAAAAAAAACCCCCCAACACACACACACACACACACACACCCCCAAAAAAAAAAAAAAAAAAAACCACCCAAAAAAAACTTTATAATGCTGGTACTAATCATCTAGGAGGGGGATTAAGATTTTCTGACCAAAAATCCCGTATCTTTTAATGCTACCAAAGCTTTCGGTGCTTATATTCTACCCATCTTTTATTTTTCTGCAGTTCTTTCTTCATAAAATTTTCTCCACTGCTCTTTTTCCGCTTCTCATTTCCCGCGAGTAATTTTTCCCGCTTCTTCCATGTATTGAGGAGACATGTACAAGCTTGCATGTGTAGGCCTACACACATGCATGATGCAAATTTACCAAGAGGAAACTATTGAATTCTAAAATGTTATTAATATTTAAGCACTTTGGTTTCATTTTGTCATTTAAGAATGATATTCTAGTGAATTTTCAATCCGTTCCTATGCAAGGAAAAATGTTTTAAAAAGTAACCTCTTTATCTGGACTACAGTTGGAGTTAAAATTTTCAATGCTGATATGTAAGTGATATGTCAATTGACTTGAGGATAAGAATGTAATTTTAGAAAAGGTCATATGCTCTATGCATTAATACAACATTAGTTGACTTGAGGGCAACAATGTCATTTTATTTGCAACATTATTCTGAAGGTTCATAATTCCCCCAAAAACAAACACTAGTATTGACTAATTTAAGTTAGTCCAAGTGATGGTGACTCCTCAGATGTTAAGGCAAATATCAATGAGCAGATGCAAGAAGCCATCATAATCGTGGTTGGATCATTGTTCTTCTCTGGATTATTAGATATTGTTAGTTCAGAAGGAAAAAAAAAATTATGCCAAAATCTCTTGCCCAATATGGGCATGCATTCTAAATGAAAGGTAACATCAAAACAGATGTTATGCAGGAAAGTTTAAGAAAAGATTCATTGCTCATACACCATACTAAATCACAGGTAATTAGCTCAAACCGGCATTTCAATAATATTGTACGAAGTGCATTGACAGTCCATAACGAAGTGCTCATTGGAACCATGTCCATAGAAAGGGAACTCTTCCTGGCTTTTAGTCTATCAAAATGATGAAAAAGAAGATCCGTATGTGTTCATTAACCAACCCTTTTCTTAATTCACACTCTTGATTTAAGGTTCTTCCTGTAAGTGTATCGAACAAACAAATGCTAACTTTCAGAGAGACAGCATCTGAACATTAAATAAACAGGACTCACCACAGTAAGTATATAAATCTCAAATCGAAGCCCTATTTCCCTCAAATTCGACACACAGTTCTTTTCCTCTTCAGAAATCTATGCAGTTGAGGAGCCTTGATCCAATAGGATGCCAAAGCAGTAATGAATGATGTCAATACATCGTGATAATCAATGGCGAGCACACCGACAACACCATGGTGACTGTCAGTAGCGAGTCTGTATTTATTTATTTATTTTTCCATGTTTCCTATTTCTTCGAGTTTTTATCCATTTTTCTGCTTTCTTTTTGTAGTTGCAAAATGCCAAAATCAGATATATCTGTGCTGTTAATACTGTTACTTCTTCTCGATATGCCTCTAAAGCCATGTGTGTGTTCGTTTTTTCTTTTTCTTTTTTTTGATAGTGAGGGTACTATTTTAAAACAGTCCGGACCCACCATTTTATTCTATGTTTGTTTTGTTACCCGGACTGGACTATTTGTGAAGAGGGACTACTTAATACCCAGAAGGGGAACTAAAGCAAACCCAACACACACACACACACACACACACACCCCAAAAAAAAAAAAAAAAAAAACCACCCAAAAAAAACTTTATAATGCTGGTACTAATCATCTAGGAGGGGGATTAAGATTTTCTGACCAAAAATCCCGTATCTTTTAATGCTACCAAAGCTTTCGGTGCTTATATTCTACCCATCTTTTATTTTTCTGCAGTTCTTTCTTCATAAAATTTTCTCCACTGCTCTTTTTCCGCTTCTCATTTCCCGCGAGTAATTTTTCCCGCTTCTTCCATGTATTGAGGAGACATGTACAAGCTTGCATGTGTAGGCCTACACACATGCATGATGCAAATTTACCAAGAGGAAACTATTGAATTCTAAAATGTTATTAATATTTAAGCACTTTGGTTTCATTTTGTCATTTAAGAATGATATTCTAGTGAATTTTCAATCCGTTCCTATGCAAGGAAAAATGTTTTAAAAAGTAACCTCTTTATCTGGACTACAGTTGGAGTTAAAATTTTCAATGCTGATATGTAAGTGATATGTCAATTGACTTGAGGATAAGAATGTAATTTTAGAAAAGGTCATATGCTCTATGCATTAATACAACATTAGTTGACTTGAGGGCAACAATGTCATTTTATTTGCAACATTATTCTGAAGGTTCATAATTCCCCCAAAAACAAACACTAGTATTGACTAATTTAAGTTAGTCCAAGTGATGGTCCATGCGTAAACAAACATCGGACTAGACTAAAATAGTCCCAAGGTAACACAATCCTAGGATTATAGTCTGGGTGTTATAATACCCCCTTGTGCAAGGATAAAAAACAAACATGGCCTAAAAGTCTAATTATCTTAGATTATAGTTTGTTCATTTTTCCCCTCTTTTGACTTAATTCATTGCTACATAGTCTCAATTTTTTTATATTTCCTTTTTTTATATTTCAAGATTTATTAAATATATATAACAAAAAATCACATCTGCTTAATTCTGTAAAATCCCATTAATTGATGCATAGTTTGTTTATATTTACGCGCTCCCGGACTGAACTTTTAATGAAATTGTCTTTTAGAATATTGTAGATCACTGTAAACATTTACTTATTTTATACCAAGTGCAGGAAGGCAGAGTCTGCACTCTACAGTATCAGAGTGCAGAATCATAAATGTATATCCATGTGGTGTTATAAAAGCTAAAATCATCTTCTTAATGCTAGTAAAGTTATAGGAGGATCAAAGACTAAAGAAGCAAACATCTATGCGCCAAACTAACATAGCTCCTTCGACTCAGATGCCTACCTAACTCTCCTAATGATTTTATAAAACAGTTATTACATGCAAATCAGAAAATTCCAAAAGCTTGTTCATGAGCTATCATGATGTCACCAGCCTTTATTCTCTGATCGACGGTGATAATAGATATGAAAGCATGTTCTGGAAACATGTGATCAAAGAAATAAAATGCAGAATCAATTTTCTTATCTAAATGATTTCGTCCATTAGTTAACAAGAAACTAAATGAAATGAAACATATGGATCCTGATCTTACCAGTCCACAAAGCCAGTGCTTGCAGAAGGCGAACTAGTTGAAAATCTTCTAGATGCACTTGAATTTCCTTGCTCTGGATGAAATAAGTTTTTCAGTAAGACCCACTGAAGTTGCAAGTAACCAACTCCCACCACATTGATCACAGTAACAGCTCTTGCCATCTAAGATCACTATATACGGAATAAAACCTAGCGGATGACATTCCAAAGGTTGATTATTACCTTTAGTAGAATGTTCAAAATGGTCTCACATGCCAAGAATATTGTGCCATAATTTTCGACTGCTGCTCCATCCTTTCCAATCATTTGTATAAGGCATTCTACTACCTGAGAAATACAATGGACGTTTTTATTTTAAATGTTAATACAAGTAATGTCTATAAAAGCAATGTCTATGCAACTAACTAACTAATTATGTTTTACAAGTCACATGCTACCATATGTAAAAAGCGCTCAAAGGATTAAAGTGATGTAAAATCTCTTTATGTTATTGTTGATGGAATGTCTATTAAATATGGCAAAGAAGTAGTTTTCACCTCTTCAAGAACTGTCATAGATCATTGAAAATCAAACAAATGGATTTAATTGACTGATGCAAGAGTTCTATACACAGTCAGCATGACATGATCATTTTGTCATCTAAAATATTCAGATTAATTATTTTCGTAAATTTTAATTTTTTAAAATAAAAAATAAAAAAAATCTGAAGCTTATGTTGCACCTACTCAAGGGTCAGGAGCTCCATAAAGCAGCTAACTTTTTTCCACATATTAAATACAGAGAGAAAATAGACGGTGAGGGAAAAAGTAGATGGCAAAAAATAGATAAGCTTAACTAGCAAGCATTTGTATTAAAACTTTGTCTGAAGTGAGTGTGAAAAAGAGTACTTAAACTGGCATGATTTAAACTAACTCACAATTTTATGTCCTCCAAATGATCCCAGGAGCTTGCACCCTTCGGTTTCCACAGTTATTTGGCACAACATTGGAAGCAAAAAGCAGATGGAGTAGAAGGGTCTGTCATTTAGTAATATGTCAAATGGCAATTAGTCATCAAACTTACAGAAATAAAGAAACTAATATATTAAGGTTGAAATACTTGCAGAAACCTTGATTCGTCATCTCCTTCAATCAAAAGCATATACTCCAAAAGACCGCGACTCTTCTCCTTACAGGCAAAGGGTGCTTCTGCAAGATAACTGAAAAGTACATGGTTAAATGATCATCAGACTACCTATGAAATGTTCTGGAATTTCCGTTTCAGCAAGCAAACTACTTTAGGATGCTCACTTGATTAACATCAAAACCATGCTTTAATATTTATTAAAACTCAGGATGTGATCCACGGCATTACAACACCTGACAGACCTCTGTAACATTGTATATTTGTCATTAAAAAATGAACATTTTGTTATAAAACATTTTATCAAACTACCTATCTAGTAAAAGCAGCAGGAACCATGCACCGAAATCCAAAGACTTCACAATGCTGTTTTTGACACACCATGTCACAGATAGATCTGTTAGTTGGGATCCATTCTTTCAAACTAATTAAGACTATACTTTCCTTTCCCTGAGGTACATGTACAATTGAAATGTAAATGTCCCTATATATTCTTTTGAACATGCAAAGGTAGAGGCTAGCATTGGCTGCTGCAGAACTGCTCATCTATAGTTGTTCATGGGATATCAGATGTCGCATGTTAAGGTCATTTGACACATCTTGGAAAAGAGATACTGATACAAAGTCATGTCCACTCCTGAACATCATAATTATCATCATCATCCTCATCAATTAAGAGACTTATGCATGTGCTAGCCACGGTATACATCTCGAGTTGAAAATGCTCCACAAACATATTATTCTTGTTGGACAAGGTACACTTTCATTGTTAATAAAACTTAATAAAAATATAATTAAAAAAAGTGTTGAGGGAATGATAAATCTGAAGTTGAAATCATGAAGAACCCCAATACACCAATACATCCCACTCTAGGCTAAGCCACTGGGAAACAGAGCATGCAGACACA